TGAATAACCTTGCTGACAGCTCTTAGATCTGTCACCATTCTCCATATTCCAGATTTCTTTTTAACAACAAATATAGGAGAATTCCAATTCTGGTTAATTCTTAAATATGGTAAACATCTAGTTGTTCCTGTACCAGCTGATCTAAAATCCGAAGTTTCTCTTCTCTTTAAGGACATTTGTTTAACCCATATAGGTTTCTTATTTAACCATTTTAAAGGCAAGGCCATTAGTACCTCTGAATGGTTGCTAGTTGCTTTGGGTTCTTGTATAAACTGAATGACTGGTGATTCTTTGTTTATAATATCCTGTAATATGCTTCCCAGAAACATAAGTTTTTGGGACTGCACTAATGTTAACCTGGGTATTCCATTGCTACAATAGGTCAGGGCCTCATAATTTCACTGCAATAGTAGCTACATATGGCCTCAGCTTTTCCTTCTGTCCTTCTGGCACTGTGCATTCAACCCATCTCATGCTTTGTTTCCCTTGAGATAGGGTTCCATTTCCTGGGAATTGAATATGTCCAATATATATATCAAACCAATCCGGATGCCAAGATTCTGGAGTAATTATACTCACATCCGCACCTGTGTTTAGTAAGTAATTCATCAATTGCAATGTCATTAATACATATTCTTCGAGCTGGTCTTTGATCATAGAAGTCTGCCAAAATATTTGTATGCTGTTTCCTACTGGAGTTTTTGATTCGTCTTCCATGTCTATTCCATCATCCAAACTGGTATGTTTTTTTACAGTGGGCACAGGATTGTCAACAAAACAAATTCTTCCAGATAATTTTGTCAAATTGATGCTATCCCTGTCCATCATATTGATCCTCTCAACTAGGTATCCGTTATTAGTCTGTAAAGACTGTATTGTTTCTAAAATTGCCTCATTCCTGGCCCTGTTATCAAACTATTTTTAATGAGATAACATGAAAAACAAAACCAATTCCTAGAATCAAATAAAGGAATGTAGAAGGAAAAGCAAATAAGCCTTATAGAATACCATCCATAGAAGAAGCAAAATAATTATTGAACTCCAAGGTAGTTATGTCATCTGTAATTTTTGTAGTTTTTCAGGTCTTACCTGTCATAAGGCAATTACAATGGATTGGAGTAGGTGTAATAATTATTATGGTCCAGCAGGTGTCACAGTTGCAGCCTCATGGCCAACAGATGCTAGTAGCAGGGAATAGCAGTTATTAAGGTGATCAAATGATTCAGAGAGTTGCAACCCAGGATAAAGAGAAAACTCAAAGTTTTTCATCAGTGTGAGTTGCAGACTGTGCACTACAGGGATCGCAGGCAGCAGCAGGTAGACCAGTGTGTAATGTGCCACAACATGTGGGTTGTGAGCCAGGGAGTGTAGACTTTTTTGTCTGAGTGTCCACTAGAGCCACAGGCAAGAGAGTCAGGGCCCAATGTGCCATGTGCCTGGCAAACTGATCCCAAAAAGTGTAGACTAGACCCCACGTTCAGGTGCCCGATGATGATGTAAGTTACAAAATAATCCCACACTAGTTCAGAATTATGTATAATAAAGAGTTATTTATTAAGGAACAGACTCACAGATTACAGTCCTAGATCATAGTTCTCTGCAAGAAACAGGGACCAGGAACCAAATCTAGCAGCCAGAAGCAAGAACTGGAGGTAAGAAAGTGAGTGCACACTTTACAGCTGAATTTATAGTATAAGAGACCACGCCCAAATGGGCTTTTGGCAGAAGGAGCTCCCACAGTAGGATGCTTTGCTAATTTTCACTGATGGCTCTTCTAACAGGAGGGCTGCATATGTAGTTAATGGCAAAGAACATGCAATGCAGAACAGAACCAGACTCAGCTCAAATAGTAGAGCTGCGAGCTGTGGCTATAGTGTTTCAACACTTTACAAATGAGGCATTTAATCTATATACTGACTTTATAGAAAAGTCTGCCAGATACTATGGGCCTGTAGGCTAAAGATGGATGACTGTCCAGGCAGCAAGATGTCTCTGTCAATTCTAGAGTTTTGGAAGTTGTTTACAATGCACTTGCTGTTTACTTAGGTAATATATCCATCTGGGGTCTTTGATGAAGTTGATGACAGATAGTTATAGGTAAATTAGACATAAAACTTTCCAGATACAAATAGACTAAGTATTGTAAGTGCAATTTTTGCTTGATACAGTTTCACTATATATGGTTTTGTTATATCATTTTGTTATATATTGTTTTGTCTTTGCTGAAGTTGAAGACAGATAGTTAAAAGTAAATTAGACATAAAACTTTCCAGATACAAACAGACTAAGTATTGTAAGTGCAATTCTTGCTTGATACAGTTTGACTATATATTGTTAGATTATATACAGTTTTACTATGTTAAAGTTAAAATCTTCCTTTTATTTAGACAAAAAGGGAAGATGATGTAAAATGATGTAAAATTCCCCTCTGTATGCTGTGAATATGTTTTATTGCCTTTGGTTAATAAAGAAGCCACTTTGGACTATGGCAGGGCAGAATAGATGTGGGTTGAAAAAGCTAAACTGAATACATGAAGAAAGAAGGCTGAGTCCGGAAGAGCCTATGAAGTCGCTGAAAGAAAAAGATTCCAGAAACTTACCAGTAGGCCACAGCCTCATGGTGATACACAGATTAATAGAATTGGGTTAATTTAAGATATAAGATCTAGCTATGAACATGCCTAAACCATTGGCCAAACAGTGCTATAATTAATATAGTTTCTGCGTGATTATTTGGATCTGGGTGGCTGAGAAGTCAAAAAGCAATCTTTGTTTACACTTCCTGAATTGGGATTCAGAGAGGTAAGCAGACCCAGTCAAAGTGTATGACCACCTGTAGGGACTGAACTCCTGTGTGGGGTAGGATATGGGTAGGACAGAAATCCTGGGAAGGAAAACAAACTGAAACCATTTTCTTAAGTGTATCCACTAAGTCAGGCCTTGACCTGCCCTGAGGATTAACTCTTAAGGGAAGACACAAGGACATCCCACCAACTGCAGGCAGAATCAACTCTATACTCTAATACCATCAGGTCCAACATGTTGGTCTGGAACAGACTATGTAGCCTAGGTAAGCCTAGAAGTTTTGATCCCCCTGCCTAACCTAGAGTTTAAGATTACAGGGGTTCACTGCTATGCCCAACCACATAACACTATTTTTTAAATTTTATTTTATATGTATGAGTGTTTTTCCTATATTTGAATGCTTGGCTCCAAGATGATTGAACAATGGTTTGGGAAGCATTAGGAGATTTGGCTTTGTTGTAGGATGTGTGTCCTTGTGGGTGGGCCTTGAGGATTCAAAAGTCCTTGCCATTCCTAGTCAGCTCTGTCCCTCTCTCTCTCTGGCTTGTGCTTATGGGTCAGATGTGAACTCTCAGCTACTGCTCCAGTGTCATGTCTGCCTTCTTGCTGCCATGCTCCTCACAGTGATGGTCATGGACTCTGATCCCTAGAATCATGATTCCCATGTTAAATGCTTATAAAGTGTCTTGGTCATGGTGTTTTGTCATGACAATTGTTGGTAGAGACTGCTTGGAGAAGCCATGTAGCCACTACAAGAGACAGATGCTGGACACTGGATGGAAACTTACTGGTAGACTATAAAATGTAGAAATACAAAGATTAATATAAATAGGTTAATTTAAGGTATAAAAACTAACTAATAAAAAGCATGAGCTAATACGCCAAGTAGTTTGTAATAATACAGTTTTTGTGTGATTATTTCAGGTCTGGATGGCTGGGAAATGAACAAGCAGCCTCAGTCTACAGGCAAGAGAAAACTAAGTAAGACACTGAACACAATATATTATAGAAAACAGACTTTTATTTTGTATTTCTGAGACTGGCTTATTTCATTAAATATGTTGACCTCTAGTTTCACACATTTTTCTGCAAATGCTGTAATTTTTCTTTTTTAAAGCTTATTTTTTTTGAAGAGAGAGAGAGAGAGAGAGAGAGAGAGAGAGACAGAACATTTATTGCTAAGTGCATTTTTCAGTGATTGTGGCTGCAGAAGCACACAAGGTGACTGAATCTAACTTTGAGCCATTTATTCAGGAGAGAGGGAATTGAGAGCCCCAGAGAAGGGAAGCAGGGTGAGATTATATACAACAGCACCTGGTTTAAGGAGAAGGCAGAAGAGGTTTTGAAGAGGGGAAGGCAGACTAACTGGGGGAATTTATATTGGATATTTTGAGTTTCTTAGTATGAAGTTTTATATTCCACTGAGGGTCACCATGACAGTGACTTGAGGAGACTGACTAATTGTGTCCACTGGAGTCGACCAGGGACTGTCTAGGCGACAGCCGGGTTTTTTGACTGACACAACAGCCCCTGATGAACGCATTTGTGTTTCGTGCTTTATGACATGGAATAAGCGATGTCAAGTATCTACTCATGTGTTTTCAAGTAGTACACAGAGAGTTTGTGAAAAATATTAAAGTTATGGCATTTTATTCCTGCTCTCATCCAAAAGGGAAGATTGAGAAAGTGACCAAGGTATTAAAATTATATGATTTCAGCTTATCGTGTAACAAAATCAGGTAACTGCTTCTCTAGTTTGGCCGGGTCTTCCCTGCTGGAGAAGCACACTGATGCTCCGTAATTTATTGAAAGGATCACTTAAACAGCAGACATTTGACGCACATGCGTGGTCGGGCTGTCTTTGCCACATGCAAAGTTTTTCTTATTCATTGATGTCATTTATGTATTGAATAATACCTACCATGACCAGGAAGCAACACATTTTGAACATCAAATTTTATCTTAATTCCATTTCCGTATAAACCACCCCATGGGTGATCTACCATGCATGACTTCATTTCACATAACGTTCTGATACTAAAAAATTGCACTCGTTTCTATGCCCTTTGCTCGTTGATATAAGAGCTATGCTTTCATTGTTGGTTTGATTAATAATGAGCATTCTATGAGAAACACATACAACAAAACAGACAATGGGGGCACTACACGTAGAAAACATGCTATCAGCAAGATGGTGAAGAATATAAGCTTGAGTTTATTTATTAATGCTAAGGATTAAACCAAGGTCAGTCAAGCTCTTCCCACTAACAGGCATTCCATCCCACCAAACCTTAAAATCCTAGGACCTACAGACCCCAGGCTATATGTATTAAATTATTATGGTCAACAAATTAAATCCAAAAAAGGCAGAAATTAAATGAAAAACAAACAATTAACTGAATCTGTCTTAAAATAAAATAAAAGTTACATAAAAGAAAATGAAAATAAAAATGAAGGTGGAGAAGAATAGGAATAAACTGCTGAGTATAAATAATTGGTCAAGGGTTATAAATAGATAACTAAGATATAAGCAACATCGGAAAAATTTCATCTGACAATTTCTCAAGATGGGTAATAAATTTATTGATTTTAATATTCTGCTTGGACACATATGTATGATTTCAGAGGCTCCCATGCTCTGCTGGCACATCTGGTCGTTTGTGGTGAACTGATACAGGGTTACAGACATCTGGGCACCTGGGTAGCACGGTGGCACACAGCAGTGTGTGCTGTTGAGTCTTCAGCTCTCCCTGGGCAGCGTGTCAGCATTCACTGTGGCAGCCACAGTGCCGTGAGCACCGTCTTCTGGGTTTAACAGTTAGTTATTCCATGCAGTTAGATCGCCTCTTCTTTTCCTAAGTAAAAGATTCAAGGCATTTGAACTAAAATTGAAAAAATCATGCACTACTGTGAAGAACATTAGTCACAGAAATTATTATGACCCTAATAATGCCTAATTTTTTTAAATGCCCTCTTTACTTTAGGGAAAATAGTAGCAGGGAGACACTCCATGGGTAAAGTGTTTACTGTACAAGCAAAGGACCTGCATTTGGATTCCTGGTACTTATGCTAATGTGGGCTCAGCAGTGCACATCTGCATTCTCAGCCCTGGAGAGGCAGGGGTACAATGTCCCTGGAGGTCACTGTCCAGGTGGCCCAGCCACATCAGGGAGCTCCAGGGTCAGCGAGAGATCCTGTCTCAAATGATAAAGTGGGGAGTAATTGAGGAGGACATGCAATATCTTCATCCACATGTGTGACTGCACATCCATCTCTGTATGTGCACACACACACACGAATACATCACACACGAATATACATACATACATGCACACCAATACATACAAACACAACACAATAATTAGAGAAAATAAATTTGTACGGCTATGATGGGCTCAGATAGAAAGTGTCAAGTGGGTTAGGAATCTGAAACATCGAATAAACAGAAGCCTCACCTACAGAAGCCAGTAACAATAAATAATGTTCATCTAGGCAGTTTGGATGCTCACCTTACTAGACCTGGATGGAGGTGGGTGGTCCTTGGACTCCCCACAGGGCAGGGAACCCTGATTGTTCTTTGGGCTGACGAGGGAGGGGGACTTGATTGGGGGAGGGGGAGGGAAATGGGAGGCGGTGGTGGGGAAGAGACAGAAATCTTTAATAAATAAATAAATAAATAATAATGTTCATCTAATGCTATATTCTTACTGATGCTCATGGCTTTTAACTTAAGAGCATCTGAAATTTGGCCCATTGCATTGTTTCCCTAAGCCACCTTGGAGCTCTTGAAGCCTAGTGGGTGATAGGAAGGGGTCATTGTGATGCTAATAGTTGCTCCACATATTCCATAAAAACAGTTGATCCTTAGGTGATATTCACTGTCAGCTGGGTAATCAGGTAAGCCATCCAATAAATGCTCATTATTTCCAATTTTATTTGCTAGTCTCACCTGGTTTGCCTGTGTCAACACCAGCACCATTAAGAGTTATGCCCCCTTCCCTTGAGGAAAGGCTTATTTATTCTAGACACTAGAAGTCTTTTTTCTCAGCCCCTCAAAGCTCCTCTTAAACAAACCTGAGAATTGCATTTTAAAGGTGTGTGCATCTCTACATGGCCTGAGGCTTATAACTATAAATTACAACTCAGTTATCTGAAAGTTTATCAAAGACTTTCTCTATAACAGTTCATTTTTGCTCAGTTCAATCAATAAAAAGAACGCAAAACAGGTTCATAGTGTATAGGTTAGACACATCACCATGTTCAGTTTGTTATAGATTAGATACAGCATTGTGTTCATAATGGTATAGGTTAGATACACCATTGTGTTCATAATGGTATGGATTAGATACACCATTGTGTTCATAATGGTATAGATTAGATGCACCATTGTGTTCATAATGGTATAGATTAGATACACCATTGTGATCATAATGGTATAGATTAGATACAGCATTGCGTTCATAATGGTATAGGTTAGATACACCATTGTGTTCATAATGGTATAGATTAGATACATCATTGTGTTCATAATGGTATAGGTTAGATACACCATTGTGTTCATAATGGTGTAGGTTAGATAAAGCATTGTGTTCATAATGGTATAGATTAGATACAGCATTGTGTTCATAATGGTATAGGTTAGATACACCATTGTATTCATAATGGTATAGATTACATACACCATTGTGTTCATAATGGTATAGATTAGATACACCATTGTGTTCATAATGGTATAGATTAGATACACCATTGTGTTCATAATGGTATAGGTTAGATACAGCATTGTGTTCATAATGGTATAGATTAGATACACCATTGTGTTCATAATGGTATAGATTAGATACATCATTGTGTTCATAATGGTATAGGTTAGATACAGCATTGTGTTCATAATGGTATAGATTAGATACACCATTGTGTTCATAATGGTGTAGGTTAGATACACCATTGTGTTCATAATGGTATAGATTAGATACACCATTGTGTTCATAATGGTATAGGTTAGATACACCATTGTGTTCATAATGGTATAGATTAGATACACCATTGTGTTCATAATGGTATAGATTAGATACACCATTGTGTTCATAATGGTATAGATTAGATACACCGCTACTTCCACCAGTTTCCATTCTCAGTTTCCTCTTTTATGTCACTGAGATCATACTTTATGTCATTGGTTATATGAAAAGTCAATAATAAAATGCTATATGTAAAATATGTAATGTTCCCCATACTCCAAATGCTTATATGGACACTTTACTCTTGCTTTAAAGATTTATTTTATTTCAATCATGTGTATGTTATGTGTCTGAGTGTGGTTATGTGCACACAAGTGTAGGTGCTCTCAGCTGCTAGAAGAGGGCTCAATCTGGTCATAGGTAGCTGTGAGTCAGAGGATCAGGTTTTACTGCGAGACTTTATCTCCTAGTAATGCCAGAGGCTGTACCAGACAGTCTCCCCAACATGGCTCCCCCAATGTGAACAATAAACCTGCAAGGACACAGCAATAGACATGCCAGGGTGAGGGGTAAAGACCACCAGGTACCAACCCTACACAAAGAACTACACTATCAGAGGAATGCTGGGAGCAGGAGAAAGAGTCTTCCCCAGGGAAGAGCACACTGACTGCTCATCCAATGGCAACTGGTTATTCCCAAAAGCACACATGTAAATGTACAGACTAAGGTTATATTAGGAATATATGTATATACGCATATGAGTGTAACAATGAAAAAAGAGGGCATGGTTTTGAAGAAAAGCAAGAGGGATTTATGGGCTGCTTTACAAGGGGCAAAGGAAAGGGGGAAATAATGTGATTATATCAAAATCTCCCAAATGAAATAAATAATTAAAAATTGAAAGTATTCAGAAGAACATCAGAAGGCTTCTTTCTGCTTGTTTGTTTTCTTAAAGACGATATAGAAAAGGAGTCTCTGTAGTTTTGGAAACATTAAGAAAGTTCTTTCATCCTGAAACATCTACTAATGCTAACACTGAAATAGATTTCAACTTTTGCTGACTGTAATGTGACAGAATCATTGCATTTTATCTACTGGAGATTCTCAGTCTCCTTCGAGTCTGCATAGTGAGCTGGCCCTCGGTACCACTGAGTCTTGGCTCTGGACTAGTGTTCTCTGAGGGTGCTATCCTGTTTCCAGTTCCCCAAATACACAACAGGGCTTCCTTCTGGGCATTGCAAGTTATCTGCCTTTCAAATCTAATTGTAAGTAGGACATGAAAACTGCTTTTCTTGAAGAAGTTAATTTACACAAAGTTACCCAGGTTTGGGAAAGTTCCGATAGGAAAAACAATACTTACGATGGTGTCCTGCCAAAGGGACATGTTTAAAGGTGTCTGTAGCTCTGATCCGGGTTGCCATGGTGCAGCATTGAATGAAGGCTTGAACACAGCGCGGGCCTGTTTTCACACGTTTTGCTCTCTGCGCACAGGTTTCATAGGTACTAAGTCTGGCTCCGTCATTACAACACTTCTTTACCACCGGATGTTTATATGTAGCAGCTGAAACGATGTCAATACGTGTGTCCTTACCACCAACAGTCATAGGAATTTCAAGCGTCAATTTCTCTACCATCAAAGGACTCCCTCAGCAGATAATCAGGGAAACCAAGCATTTTACATAATTTTAGGTGAGGAAATAATAAAGTTCTGCTTTTTGGGGGGTAAGGACCTGGCCAATGAAATTCTGAGTTTGTGTGAAGGATCATTTGAGGGGTGAACTGAACCTCCACAGGCATCTTTTCCCCGCCCGCTGCTTTGCAATTAGGGAAACCCCGTGTCTTCTGCTCTGGTCTTGAATGCAGTAACCGCAGTGCTATACAACTTGTGGACTACCTTGTTCTGTTATTTTGTGTTCCAGGGAATCTGTAGGCTGGAGAATCACGGCTTGGGCTTCATCTATGAGCGGGAGAATGGAGATAGGGAAGAGTGGTCAGTGTCATACTGTTGTTATATTACTTAAAAATAGGTCTTGTCCCTGCAATATGACCCATAATACTCTTCAACTAAGTCGTTTGTTGACTTAACTACTTGACTCCTCGCTAATTGTTTATTTTTCCTAAAATCATGAGCCTAGAAAGATCCCCCATAAGCTAGGCTCCCCTGGGGACTATACCAGTTCTGTTATGAAGAACATGAATCCACAAGGGCCGGTGGGCTTCCTCGGGATTAACAGGCGACCTGATCTCAGACTCACGAACAGCCACCAAAGCGTTAGAGTACCTTGAATTTTCAGTTCTTGCTGCAGATCACTTATTGACGTGAGATTTATTTTGTAAGCTTTATCTGTGAGAGATAAGGGGGTGTGGAAGGCATAAAATCCTTCTAAAACAGCCCCACGATGGTATTCTCTTCCACATCATCACGTCCCTCTAAACAACCTCTAACAAGCACTGACTCCTTAGCCGAATACCCCACCAGGACTTCCCACCACCCTGGCCCGGGGCCTCATCCCTACCTGGGAGTGGTTTGCATTAGCTATATTACTGAAAAGAATTACTGGGAGAAAACTAACGTTCTATAAACGAGTCTTAGGTTGAAGATTACCGTGTTCTTTGATTTCAAAGTGTGTTGTTCCGTTGGTGGAAGCGTCTTCTCTAAATTTAGCCTGAATCGTCCATCTACCGTATCTGTGGAAATGAGATGTTTGAAATCATGGAGGTTATCAAAGAGTTTTAATTTATCAAGAGGAACTCTAGTAATTTCTGTTTTAAGGAGGTAAGAATATATGTATATACATGTAGATATACACATGCATACATGCATGCACACAAACACTTTCACATATACTAAAGTAAAAGTTTGGACGAAAGATATTTTAAAAATAAGTAGGCATAACTGAACATTTCTAAAAAAAATAAATTGTTTAACAATTAGATTTTTTGTATTGTATCTTTTCCTACATATTTTACGTAAATACAGCAATTTTTATTTGAGAACTGAAACAACTTCAATATATAATTAATCCAGGAATTTATGTTAAATTCACAACATAGTAAAAAAAATTATAATAATATGTTTGGAAAGATGGCATACCATGGTGAAATCCACACCGCATATGACCAAATTTTTATTAGAAAACTAAGCATGGGTGGTCTAAAGCATAAAATAACCTGTCCAATAACCTTCTTCCAAAAATAGTTAGTGGGGTTGGGCAGTGGGAGCTCATGCCTTTAATTCCAAGACTTTGGGGGGTGCCATTCCAAATTCAAGGTCAGCCTGTTTACAGAGTGAGGACATCCAAGGCTACACAGAGAAACCCTGTCTTGAAAGACCAATACCAAAAACCAAACAAACAAAAAAAAAATTAGTGAGTACTACAATGAGATTTAAAAAAGATCAATACAGACGAACCGCAGACTTTATAGCAAACAATCCACACCAGTTCAGATTCTCACACATTTTCTGAGCAGCTTTATTTCATACAAATTACTGCACATCACTGGGGAAAGAGAAAAACCGTATCTACCATGCAGATAGGGGATGCGATCAATGGAGGAGATAGTACGGTTGTCATGACTATTGTCCTTGCTCAACAGGTATTTACTGAGGACCAAGGATGCTGAATTGCTGAGCTAAATGAACACTATGGACAAGAGCCTTGATCTTAAGGAGCCCAGGGTCTAACATGGGGAGGGAGTGATAAACAAAAAATGAATAAGACATGGAGAAGAAGAGAAAATACACAGGACAAGGAGGTGGAGAGTGAAGAGGACATTACATCATATCCAGGGATGGCATTTGTACAAAGTGTGATTTTCCCATGTCCCAGAGACGAGAACTATGAAGGAGAATGTGTTCTGTGCATAGAGGACAACAGACACCAAGCTGCTAAGACGGGAGAGTGGAGTCTGATGGATTCCAGTGGATTGCTGGCATGAGGTGACCTCTGGGAAATCAGAATCATAACATAGCAGACTCAATTCTGCACTAGGGGGTCTATGGCATTTTAAGAAATTGTATAATTTTAAATCATCCAGATTATTTCAGCCTCCCAACTTCAGTCCACGATTTTCAGAAAATGTTTTCAAAATGAGCCAAATACAATTTCCCTTAGAGAGGACACAGGACAAGTGACTCTAAAGTGTTTCTACTGGAAATGTCTGCGGTAGCTATGTATAGTATAGTACAGTGTAGTGTAGCATGGTACAGTACAGTACAGTATAGTAGAGTACAATATAGTATAATACAGTACATTATAGTACAGTATAGGATAGGATAGTACATTATACTATGGTACAGTATAGTATAGTCCATTATAGTATAGTAGAGAATAGTATAGTTCAGTATAGTATAGAATAATATAGCACAGTGTAGTATGGTACAGTACAGTATAGTATAGCCTCCCTTGTCTTGTATTCTATAGTATAATACAGTATGGTACAGTATAGAATATTATAGTACAGTATAATATAGAATAGAATGATATAGTACAGTATAGTACAGTATGGAATACTACAGTATACTATAGTATGGTATAGTATAATTACAGTACAGTATAGTAGACTATAGTATAGTATGGAAAAGGATACTATACTATAGAATAGTATAGCTGCTCTTGTCTAGTATAGTATAACACAGTATAGTATAGTGAGTATAGTATAGTGTAACATAGTATAGCTGTCCTTATATAGTATAGTATATAGTCCAGTATAGCATAGCTGCCCTTGTCTTGTATAGTATAATACAGTATAGTACAGTGTAGTACAGGTGTCCTTATATAGTAAAGTACAGTATAGTATAGCTGCCCTTGTTAATATAGTATAGTACAGTATAATATGGTATAGTATAGTACAGTATAGTATGGTATAGTATAGTACAGTACCATATAGAACATTATAGTATAGTACAGTACAGTAAAGAACAGTACAGTATAGTATAGTACAGTACAGTATGGTATGGTATAGTATAGTACAGTACCATAAAGAACAGTACAGTGCCATAAAGAACAGTACAGTATAGTACAGTACAGTATAGAGTAGTACAGTATAGCTGCCCTTGTCATAGACATTGTGCTCTATGTTCCTTGAGAACAGGGATTGTGAGCACTTGACTTCTATTTGGCAGCTTGCTCTCTTATTGTGAGTTCCACACACAAGCAGTGCTCATTAAACATGTATTTTATAAACCTCTGTATGAGCATGATCTTAATCCTTGCATATGAACCCAAATAGAACAAAATTTCCTACACACAAACACACACACGTTATGACTAAATCTCCGCACCTGCTAGGCATAAGTGCTCTCCCAATAGACCATAACCTAACACCCTCTGCTCAGAGATGGACACTCTGTTAGGGTGAAAAGGTAAAAAGGACAACTGAAGATTGTTTTCTCTTCTAAATTGATTGCTTTCTCTATAAAAAGAATGGGTGAGAAATTTTGGCAAATTCTTCTGTGTGTGTGTGTATCTGTGTATTTGTTTACTGTTTTGCTATTTGCTGAGGCTGGTTGGTAATACCTACATCTAAGGGATTCTCTATTGAAGGTGTGCTGGAAATCCGAGACTCCTGGTCTCCTGGGCAGTGCTCTGGTATCTGGGATTCATTTCTGTTCTGCTGAGAAGTGGGCTTAACTTCTACCATCCTTTGGAAGGCTTCACATAGCAACATGTGTGCTGTCCTTGGTCAGAGCAGGTGCTCACTTAACCTTTCCTCTGCCCCACAAACAAAAGTTCAACATGGTTTTTTGTTTGTTACTTTTTTTTCAGAAATAAAGGTTATTAAGAAATATTTTTACGTACTTGGGGTTAGAAGGAATCTGAAAGTCAGGAAAAGACACAGCTCCAGTAAGATTGTTTCCTTGCACCTTGTCAACTTCTGATCCTTCAGGGTCCTTTAGAGAAATAAAAATCATGCCCACCTTAAGTCTTTTTTCGTTGTTGCAAAGTAATACCCGTGACCAGGTAATTTTGGAAGACTAGAGATTTATCTTGGCCACAGTACTGGAGGCCAGGGTTGTAAGGAGATGACGCTGTGCAGGGAGGAGCTGCCCTGCTTCAACTCTGGATGGAGAAGCAGAACCGCAAGCAAGAACTCAGGAAGAGTTTGTTCATATGACCAGAAAGCTCTTGCACGGGAACAGCCCTGCTCAGTGCATCCATCTGTGAGGGAAGCATCACAGGACTAAGCACATACTTACTATGAAAGTTAAGACAGTTTCCCGTGTAACTGGCTCCAAGGCATCTCCCAGCGAAAGAACGCCAACCTTTACTGCAGAAGAAGTGATATTGTCAAAAACCTTGTTGAGCAAGGACTGTTCTAATTTTTTTTATTGAAAAACAAAATTCTGCCTCCACCCAGTCTCCCATTTCCCTCCCCCTCCTCCCACCTCTCTCCTCCTCCCTCTCCAGTCCGAAGAGCAGTCAGGGTTCCCTGCCCTTTGGAAAGTCCAAGGTCCTCCCCCTTCATCCAGGTCTAGGAAGGTGAACATCCAAACTGGCTAGGCTCCCACAAAGCCAGAACATGAAGTAGGAACAAAACCCCATGCCATTGTCTTTGGTTTCTCATCAGCCCTCATTGTCCGCCATGTTCAGAGAGTCCGGTTTTATCCCGTGCTTTTTCAGTCACAGTCCTTATGGAAGAATGGATGAAGAAAGTGTGGAATATATACACATTAGAGTACTACTCTGCCATAAAAAACAATGATTTCTCGAATTTTGCATGCAAATGGATGGAAATAGAAAACACTATCCTGAGTGAGGTAACCCAGACCCAAAAAGAAGATCATGGGATGTACTCACTCATAATTGGTTTCTAGCCATAAATAAAGGTCACTGAGTCTATAATTTGTGATCCTAAAGAAGCTAAATAAGAAGGTGAACCCCCTCAAAAAACATATAGTTAATATCCCTGCTATGGGAAATAGACAAGATTACTGGGCAAAAAAAATGGGATCTTGGGGGTGGGGTGGGATGGGGGTAAGGGGAGAAGGGAAGAGAAAAGTGGGAAGGGGAGGATGGGGGGAACTTGGAGAAATGGGATGATTGGGGATAAAACAAGGTTGGATAGAGGAGCAGGGAATCACATAACTTAATTAAAGGAACCACCTTAGGGTTGGTAAGAGACTTGAACCTAGAGTGGCTTCCAGGTGCCCAGGGCAATGTCCCCAGTTAGTTTCTTGGGCAGCTGAGGATAGGGAACCTGAAATGACCCTATCCTATAGCCATACCGATAAATATCTTGCATATCACCATAGAACCTTCATCTAGCGATGGATGGAAATAGAGACAGAGACCCACACTGGAGCATCGGACTAAGCTCCCAAAGTCCCATGAGGAGCAGAAGGAGGGAGAACATGAGCATGGAAGTCAGGACCACGAGAGGTGCACCCACCCACTGAGAAAGTGGGGCTGATCTATTGGGAGCTCACCAAGGCCAGCTGGACTGTGACTGACTATTCTAATTTTTGAAACAAACATCATCAGGGTGAAAATGATTTAAGATACAGTGAGTGACATTGTCAAAGATTAATAATATATTTTAAAAACATTTTCAATGAGATAAATCTTGTTAAAAATCAAATATAGCCCCAAGATAAAAACTCATATTTAAAGGAAAGATGTTGGTAAACATATATATTACTAAAGATTCTTTCATTTTAACCTAAGTCCTCGTGATTTACTTGTAGTGAATAGGAAAGATAACTTATAAAAATACTTATGTTCTACCTGCTGGAAACATGTGAATAGTGTAAAATTAGTTATTTCTGGTATTAGACCTCCATGTATTGGGAATTTCATAAAAACAAAAGAGTGAGCTCCACTGTAGGTTGTATGAAAACATACAATACTGCCTTACATTAGGGCTGGAGGGTCAAGGGACAAACTAATGTCTGGTTCAGAATGCATACACTCTCCTGCTTATGAAAAGCAGCAAGGCTCCAAATTAGCTCCTCCTGTGATATGCTGTGATCGTGTGATTTTGTTGTATCTGTTGCCCCAGGTCCTGTTATTGTTCTTTCCTTTTTGAATGAATAGTGGTGGGCCAGAGAGATGGCTCAGTGGTTAAGAGCATTGCCCACTCTTCCAAAGGTCCTGAGTTCAACTCCTGAGCTCACAACCATCTGTAAAGAGATCTAGTGCCCTCTTCTGGTCTGCAGACATACACACAGAGAGAATATTGTATATATAATAAATAAATAAATATTTAAAAAAAGAAAAAAAAAAGACTAGTGGCGACATTGAAGAACTGTTGGTCCTTGCACATCCTAGGCAGCACTCTGTCCGGAAACACGTGTCTCTTTGTTTCCTTCCTAAGTAGCCCCGGATAGCCTGTGATTCACAACCTCCTCTCATCAGCCTCCCTGGTTCTGGGGTCAGGAACACACACCACCAAGCCCTGTGAGACCCTCCACTCTCTAAATGCTGTGGGTCTCACAGCTGATTCATGCTTAATTTTCTTCTTCTTTCATACACATTGGAAGTAGGTACCCAGAACCAGGTGGCAGCAAATACATTCAATTCCAGCTCTTGGGAGGCAGAGGCATGATGATATCCATGAGTTCAAGGTCAGTCTGGTCTAGCACTATGTGATTTCCAGTACAAACGGGGTTGTTACACAGACAAACCCTATTTTCTCAACAACAAAAAAGTGTTTCACAGAAAAAAAAATAGTGCAACATTTCATGTATTTTCTTCTCTGTTATTGTAGTTTTTAATCTTTATAAATTTGAATCTGATCCCTTAGAATATCTTCATTGTCTTTGTTTTTTGTGCTCAATATCTTTTAAGTTAAAGTCTTTAATTTTTTTGAATTACATACATGAATAGTATAATTGCATGCCTGTTATTTTTATATTTACATACACACATACACACATGTTGATTTAGTGTTATTCCTATGTGCATGTGCTTAGGGTGGACTGCTCAGGATTGGATCAGCTGTGGGGGCTCCTCCCTGGGTAAACCCAGCCTCCCTCTCTGAGCAGCACTGACTGTCTATAGCAGTTCTTGCGTGTAGGAGGCCTTTAAAATCTCCCCCATGAGGGTTGTGTGTTGTCTACATAGATTCACAACTACTCTAAATACAGATAGTGTGTGACCATGGCTACCCAGCACCGAACGGTACAACTAAAACACAGCCCCGGACCTGAGATCAGGGAGCGCTATAGAACAGGAGGCAGCAAAGGCTGTCATTGGTGTTTCTGATTTTAGCCATTCTGACAGGTGTAAGATGGTATCTTAAAGTTGTCTTTTTTTTTTTCTAGAGAAAAACACAAGACCAAGTTTATTTCATACAATGTTATTCACACGTTTCATTTCTAATTTATACATAATATACAAAGAAGTGAAGATAACATTTCATATGAAGAGCCAGGACTTAGACAAACTGGTCCAGAAACAATCTATACCAAAAGGAGACACTCAAGAGTAAGCCTAAGCGGTTTCTGCCCAATCAGATTTATTCTGAAAAGTCAATTTTTCTGAAGTTCCATGCCAACATACTAGAAGGTGGAATCAGGGTGAGCACCAAAACTGGCAGATCATAAAATTTCTACACAAACAGGTATTTTTCTAGAATATGCCTAAAAGTATCAGGAGAACTGGGTTGTCAGCACTGGGAAGTATGAATCAGGACTGCTAGAGGAGGATTCAGTTCCAAGTCACTTTCTCTAGGACTTGCCACTTTCTGAACTGAGAGACAGCTGCCTGAGCATACAAAAGCAAGGGTGAACGGGAACCAAGTTGTCTTGATTTGCATTTTCCTGATCGCTAAGGAAGTTGAGCATGACCTTAAGTGTCTTTTGACCATTTGAACTTCTTCTGTTGAGAATTCTCTGTTCAGCTCAGTGCCCCATTTTATAATTGGAGAGGTTGTGGAGTAAGGGGTACACTCATCCATTGCTGGTGGGAATGCAAACTTGTTCAACCACTTTGGAAAGCAGTGTGGCGGTTTCTCAGGAAATTCGGGATCAACCTACTCCTGGACCCAGCAATACCACTCTTGGGAATATACCCAAGAGATGCCCTGTCATACAACAAAAGTATATGCTCAACTATGTTTATAGCAGCATTGTTTGTAATAGCCAGAACCTGGAAACATCCTAGATGCCCTTCAATGGAAGAATGGATGAAGAAAGTACGGAATATATATATTAGAGTACTACTCAGCAGTAAAAAACAAGGACTTCTTGAATTTTGCATGCACATGGACAGAAATAGAAAACACTATCCTGAGTGAGGTAAGCCAGACACAAAAAGAGAAACATGGGATGTACTCACCCATAATTGGTTCCTAGCCATAAATAAAGGACATTGAGCCTATAATTCGTGATCCTAGAGAAGCTAAACAAGAAGGTGAACCCAAAGAAAAATATATAGGCATCCTCCTGGATATTAACCTTCATCAGGCGATGAAAGAAGACAGAGACAGAGACCCACATTGGAGCACCGGACAGAAATCTCAAGGTCCAAATCAGGAGCGGAAGGATAGAGAGCACGAGCAAGGAACTCAGGACCGCGAGGGGTGCACCCACACACTGAGACAATGGGGATGTTCTATTGGGAACTCACCAAGGCCAGCTGGCCTGGGCCTGAAAAAGCCTGGGATAAAACCAGACTCGCTGAACATAGTGGACAATGAGGACTGCTGAGAACTCAAGAACAATGGCACTAGGTTTTGATCCTACTGCACATACTGGCTTTGTAGGAGCCTAGGCAGTTTGGATGCTCACCTTACTAGACCTGGATGGAGGTGGGTGGTACTTGGACTTCCCACAGGGCAGGGAACCATGATTGCTCTTTGGGCTGACGAGGGAGGGGGACTTGATTGGGGGAGGGAGAGGGAAATGGGAGGCGGTGGCGGGGAAGAGACAGAAATCATAAATAAATAAATAAATAAATAAATAAATAAATAGAACAGGAGGAGGAAGATGTGGAGGATCAGGGTGCCTACCAAGGCTCAGAAATGTGGTTGCTAAGCTGCACTGTCTGCTTTTGAGCTGAACATACTGGTAGAGCTATTGGCTCTGCAGGGGCACAGTGACACATTTTCAGTCTTCAAGGGTTTTTAACTCAAGTCATAGCCAAGTCTTGGTCCGCACACCAAAACAGAAATAGTGCCCTAAGCCCAACCCACTTCAACTCTTGGCTCTTACTGTGTAACTCCACGGAGATGTCCCAGGAAATCCCATTTTGCAAGGTAACAAGGTAAAGCCAGTATGATGAGCAGGTCGCCCACATCCTGTGCTCTCCTCCCTTCAGTGCTGTCACCACCTCATATTCTCCCTCCCGTCTATGACAAACCTGCCTGCGTCATCGAGGAGTCAAGAAGGAGCTGTTAGCTGCCTGTGGAAAGCCTATGATCACAGGTTTTGATGTTCAAAACTATGGTCTTGTCTCACTGCTTCCCCTTCCTGTTCCTGGTTATCTTAACCTCTAAACCTCACTAATAAAACATGAATATTAGTGTCACCTTCCAATGACACTCACAGGTACAAACAGGACAGAGTCTCCGCATGACTCAGCAAAAAAGAAGTAACAAATTTTTACCTTATCATTATAATTTCAGTGACTTTTAGTTGCATAGTTTCTAACCTAGTTTTTAGTTAATTTAGAATACTAATCTTAGTGTATCAGAGGCAAGATCAATAAAATCTGCGTATTGAAGCTATGACTAAATTGCAGTGCCTGCTTTGTGCTTGACAATGAGATAAGACTGGTGACCAAGTCTGATATGCATGCCGTCATACAACCCCATTCACCTCACCATGGACATCACCAGCATCCACCGAAATTAGAAGGTCGCTACTGTGCACAAAGTTAAACATCAAAACAAAACATGACAGTCCCTCTTGCCTCTGCCAATCTGTCCCCCAAAGTACCATAAATGAAAACCCTTCCTGCTTCTTCCTGCAATGTACATCTTCCATAAATGCATCTCTAATTGTCCAGAGATGGCAACTAGCAGGGGAAAGATAGAAGGTTTACAAGCAATTTTGACTTTTCCTATGTCTCCTTTGTAGTTCTTGGGGGGAAATGTAGATTTTCCATAGTCACAGTGTCTTTCCTGCCATTCCCCTCAACAGGAAAACTATGAATATGAAACCATGCATAACAGACACTTTCTCAGGTGACTCACTGTGGACAATCAGCACTTGGGCACCTCTGTGATGTACGTTAGTCTCTGACAGATGTCTAAACCTTTACACAGGGGTTCTTTTTCCAACCTTGGAACTACCTACTGAATCCAAGTTTGTTTTAAATAGAAGATCTTAGGATATATTATTTCCCAGTGCCAAAATTGTATTTGCAATCATGTCTTCTCTATTTTTGATGAATAAATTCTCTGACAGGACAGATAAAGTAATCATTGGTTATGTTATTAATTTACTAATTCCATTATAAATTACAAGTGAAAATGCTATGTGAAAATATAAGTCATGAGGATCTGAGTTTCTCTTGAGTTAGGTAGAAACTGGTCTACACTCAATTTCAGATGTTCAAAGTTGTACATCTTTATGTCATTCTCCCTTGGAAGAAGCATCAGATACTCTACCGTGCTGCTGCGGAGTATACACAGGCTTGTCAGTGTGGACGAAGAGAGAGCCATTGTCATAGAGGATTGGCCTTTTTTCAGATTTTGAAAAATGCTTTGATACGACTTCCAAATACACATATGAAAATGAGCTTTGTCCTTGAGACAACTGTTTGTCCTGAATCTGAAAAGCAACAAACAAACATGACGGTGTGAAAGTGTGATTGTGAAGTCCTAAAGCGTGCTGACCTTGTAGAGACAAAACCACTGCAAACTGTAAGACCAAATCTAGCTTGTTCGTGCTTTTTGTTTGCTTGTTTTGGCTTGGTTTTTGTTTTTTGAGACAAGGTTTCTCTGTAGCTTTGGAAATGTCCTGAAACTAATTCCTGTAGACTAGGCTGACCTTGACCTCACAGAAATTCTCCTGCTTCTGCCTCCCAGGTGCTGGGTTTAAAGGCTGCAAAATTGAGTTTGTGCATTGCATAATTTTATAGAGACGCTGGAGACAGGGCTCAGACGTTAAGAGCACTGGTGGCTCTTCCAGAGGACAAAGATTCAGTTTCCAGCACCCAAGTGGCAGCTCAGATCACCTGACTCCATTTCCAGGAATCCTACTTCCTCTTCTCTCCTCTGTTATTGCATGCTGTGGTGCCCAAATACACGTGTAGGCCAAACACCCATTAACAGGAAATGGTAAAAAAAAATAGTAATAAACCTGTAGTGGTGCATAATATAATCGAAGCATTTAGAAGGCAGAGGAAGGCAGATCTCTGTGAGTTCAAGTCCTGCCTGGTCTACGTAACTTCTTCCTGAGCAGCCAAAGCTATTAGAATATTGTTACAAGCAAAGATTTCTATCTTGTATGTCAAATTGTCTTGTTGGAGTCAGATCAACAGTTCTGGCAAACCACTCCAGGTTGTTTCTTTCCAAGCCTTGTCGGAAAACAGTAAATAATAACAACAACAACAACAACAATAATAATAATATCACTGTATAGCACTACAGAAACTGAGTAGGAAAATCTTGCCTTCAAGTTTATCCAGGTAAGAATTGTAAAAATCTGTTTTATAGCATAACCCAACAACAAAACTAATTAAAACCACTGTAGGAACAATAAAAATAAATTAGTTTTGCCAAAATCCCTTCATAGTCTGACATCATAATAAAATGTTAGTATTTTTGAGACAAATTATTTCTAGAATAAATAACTTTTAAAACTAAGTACTAAAACTAAAACAAACAAAAGTCCAAGCAAGTTAGGCAATAAATTGGCTAATGAAACGATCACACAGTTCATAAGCAGAGAAGCACAGAGGACTGGTGGACATGTGGAAATCTGTTGACATCCTTACCATCTGGAGAGCGCCAATGGCACTGGGATTCCATCTCACTGCAGGAGGAACAGCTATCATTGAGAATGGTAACAGAACCAAGAATGCCGGGGAAGATGTAGGAGCAGGGAAGCCTTATGCATTGCAGATGGAGTGATAATTGGTGCAGGCAGAAGGAAAACCAGTGTGGGAGTTCCTAAACATAGAGCTACCTCTGGCCCAGCTGCAGCACTTGGGAATCTCTGAGGAGGGATAAAAGCCAACGTGGTGAGAGAGGTTTGCACTATTCATCATCCTCATCATTGCACTGTTCACGACTCCCAAGCTATGGAGAACGTCTTCTTGTCCATCAGCAGCTAAGTGGACACAGGAAATGCGATACCTATTATTCAGCCACAAAGGACAAAACTGCCGGGAAATGGATGCAACGGGAGGTCTCTATAGAAAGTGAAAGAAGCAGGACTCAGAAGGCATATACTGCGTGTTTTCTGTCACTGTGCACACATGTGCACATGACACAAAGATTGTGTACATACACACGTGACATACGAGGAGGACGAGAAAAGGGAGAGTGGACAAGGTGGGGTGAAGGGGTCAATACAGTCAAAGAACATATCACACTTAAAGGAGTTTGTCTTTATGAAATCCATCAGTACCCACAATGAACATGCACAAAATAAAGAAGTTTCTAATCAGTCTGAGCAGAGATGTCTCAATGAACGACAGTTATTTAAGCAGTTTGTCCCTACTACCCTTGTGTGTTTCCAGAGAGAGTTGCTGGCTCTAGCATTCAGCAGTCCCCCAGTATGGGAACTATGTGTAGAGCTGAAGAATACTGAGCTTTAGCAAATACCCAACAGCCCGTGTGCACATTCAGTTAGCAGTTCCCTTTTCTAATTTCACCTCAAGATATTTCCTGTTCATCTCCAAACATTGTCACAGAGAGGAGTTTATTTTTAAGGATGTGGGTAGGGCGCACTTTGCTCAAAATCAAATGTAATTTTCTGCACAGAGTTTGGGGTTTCACTCATCACTCCCCCTGTTACCATCTTACAACCACACAGCTATGGAGCAACAGTAACGACTACAGTTTTACCAAGGTTCAAGTGTTGCACAACTTTTACCAAAAACACTTAAAAAAACAAAGAATAAGTACATACTGTTAATAGTGTCGAGTTTTGGAATTTATTTTCTGGAGATAAGTTAACACAGCCTGAAGAGTAGGTCACTTTTCTATCTGGATAACTTCTTATAGAGATTGTCACATCAAATGCTTCAGTGTAGCCATGAGCTTGAATTACAACATTTTCAGATGCTCTGACATGGAAGACTTTGGGTGCTGATATGACGAAGCTGTTTAAATTGTAAAAGAAAAGTTTCGTTTGTTTTGCAGGTTTTCTTATACTTTTGGTATTTTACTCTGCATTTTTGCTGACTAGAAAACGAGTCTGTCATTGTTACAGGTAGCTGTCTCAAGGGATCAGTTATGTTGCTAGCCGCTCATCAAATCCAGACATGCCCATTGCTCTCATGGTCAGCTGAGACTACCCACTCATTATGTCAAAAGCAGACAGTTATTACCGAATCGATACAACCCAAGTCTCCATTTCACTCACCACAGGTAAGACGCCCAGGAAAGTGAAGATGGCTCATTTTACTTACGTTTGTTCCTGTCCCCAAGTTTTGCCCAGGAAAATTAAAAAGCAAAGTGCTCCCCAAAGGCCCATGGTGTAAAGTGGCATAAACCCATGAGCCCGAACTTCTTGACGCTACTTTTATTTTAAATAAACTGGGTTGAAGAGTTTGGGTAAATTAGTTTTCTGGTTAATTATTAACGTCAGCGAATACAATCTCTGAGTGAGAAAGTTAAAATCAGGAATGGGCACATGAGGGTATGTTAATAAACACAAAACATGTTTTACCATCCTGTCATTTCCAGTAATAAAGACAGCGGTGTTTGACATCAACTTAGACCCAGGGACGTGTTTTTATGAATAGAAGAGGGTCCTAACCTGGGTGCTTGCCACAGTGCAGGAAGGCTCAGCGCTGGGAGCCAGGAGCTGCTTTCCTCTGACTTTCATGTCTCAGCCAGGTCCTTTGTGCTGACACCCTGCCACCTTCAAACTTGATTCTGGCAGGTTTCATTTTTCTCTGAGATTGATGAAAGACTCAACTGGATTTTATTTTAAATGCATGGTTTTAGAATGATTTTGACCAATCTTTAATTCCAACACTCAGGAGGCAGAGGCAGGCAGATTTCAGTGAGTTCAAGGCCAGACTAGTCTACAGAACAAGTTTCAGGACAGGCAAAGATTCACAGAGAAACCTTGTCTTGGTAACCAAATAAATGAAAGATAGATGATAGATAAATAGATAGATAGATGATATATATATATATATATATATATATATATATATATATATTAAAGAAACACAGACAGACAGACAGACAAATAGAACAAATCTGACCTGAAAAAGCAGCAGTAGCATCATTGGTACTGGTGATGGCCAAGGGTAACCTAGGTCTGCAGAGATGGTCCAAGGACTAGATCCATGGTCCATCCCAGCCTAGAGAAGAAGCAGTGCAGTATATGGAAAAGAGTTGTGTCGGCATGGAAACCCTGCAGAGAAGTTCATCTGAATCCCTAGACAGTAGACACTCAGTGCTTACAGGGATGTGAGTCTGTGAATCCACGTGTCCCTCCCCAGAGTTTGCATGCAGTCATAGAAGGCCTCACTTTATACCTCCATGCTCCTGTGAGGGTTTCTACAGTTTACTACAGGAGGTCAGTATGAGCAGAGTGAATAGTATTTCCATGACAGCTGATTTCCTCTTTTTTAAATCGGTTTTTGGTTTTGGAGACAGGATGTCTCTATACAGCCTTGGCAGTACTGGAACACACTGTAGACCAGGCTGGCATTGAAGCCACGGAGATGACTGTCCTATGCCTCTGGGGTGCTGGGATTGGAGCAAGTCCAACTACATCTCACAAGTTGATTTTCATGACTCATTTCCAATTAAGTAAATTTAAGCAAAAGTTAAGTTTTAGAAATTTCATTAAATTTATTTTATATGATATGTTCATTACAAAATTCATTTAGATTTTCTTTTGTCAATCATTTGTACATTTGTTTATGATCTGTGTTGTATTTCAAGGTAACAAAAGAAATGTCCAGGAGCTGGATGTGTATTTCAGTTGGTAGAGGCCTGCTGAGCATGCTCCAGGCCTGGGCTGGGCCCCAGCCTCACACGACTGTCAGGTGTGATAGAGTACACCTGTAGTCACAGCACTCAGGAGGTAGAGGCAGGAGGATTGGAAATTGTAGGTCATCCTCAGGCACTAGTGAGTTTGAGACCATCCTGGGCGACATGAGACCCTGTCTACAATAATACTAATGATAACAGTGTTGATAATGATAATGCAGAGATGTCTAAACACAGTCCTGTAAGACAGAATTTTGGTCACACTGACAATGGCATTTTTACCATATTAGTAAGGTTCTATTTAGCAGTAGTTTAATCATGAATTTGTCAAAGAAAAAGGCGTGGGAAGAAAAATTCTATGCACTGTTTCACTTACAGTAATGTTCCTTTTATACAGAGCATCACAATGGAAAACATCCACACTGCCATCCAAATAGCTATCTCATTCATTTCCAAAGAAACCTGTAAAATGATTAAGCTGGGTTGCAAAAGATGGGTCAGGTTAAAGCAAACAGTGCTTCTGTGATCACTTTCGGGAAACAAAACCCAAGAGTGTAAGGACCGCCCAGTGGACACATATCAGCTTTACTTCAAGTGCCAGCAGTGGGCGCTGTCTGTGATAGGAGAGCAAACACTAGGGAGCGCTGTTCTCAGACCACTGCTGTGGGAAGTGTTTACAGGATGACAGGCTCAGCAAGTCATGGACCCAGCTGTTTAATCCAGCTGTCTTCTAAATGTCGTTCAAACACGGGGTTTCTTCAGGGTTTAATATGTGACCTGTACACAAGTATTTGATTGTTGTGTGTGGAATAGGAGAGTGAGTGGTTCACCCTTGTTTTGCTCAAATATCTTTTCTTCCATTTTCCTTCCTTCCTTCCTTCCTTCCTTTATTCTTCCCTTTTCTTTCCTTCTGTCTGTCTTTCTTTTTAAGACAGAGTATCACTTGTTGCCCTGAGCAGATGCTTAACTCTGCTAGAAACCTGAGGTTCACTGAACCTCCTGCAACTGTCACCTGGCTTCTGGGAACCAGATGTCTTTGCTTAGAGTGTTGTCTAATTTTTATGTCAACTTAACACAACCTAGAGTCATCTGGGAAAAGGGAAATTCATTTGGGACGTGCCCTCATTAGAATGGCGGGTGGGCAAAACTGTGGGCATTTTCTTGATAGATAATGGATGTGAGAGGACCCCGTTTATTGTGTGCAGTGCCATACTTGGGCAGGTGGTTCTGTGAGCTGTATAACAAAACAGGCTGAGAAAGCTATGGGGAACAAGCCAGTGAGCAGCATCCCTCCATGGCCTCTGCATCAGCTCCTCTATCCAGGGTCCTGCCCTGCTGCCGGGTTCCTGACCTGACTTTTTGCACTGATGGACTGTGATGTGGGACTGTAATCTGACATGACCTCCCCCCAGCCATGTTGCCTTTGCAATGGTGTTTTCAGAGCATCCAGAAACCTGTGCAACATCCTGGTCCTCAAGTCTCCCATGGTCTGCGTCCTGCTCGGTTCCCTGTGTCCACTTTCTTCCTTGTCACTAAGTGGCTGTGACATGAAGGGGCTCCTGGAGGGTGTGTCTTTCAGGTGAACACTCTTTACTTTCTTATTTCATACTTATTTACTAAAAAGAAACAGTATAGAAATCAGCTCTTTGTTTTAAAGATATATTTATTTATTATGTATAAAACATTTTGCCTCCATGTATCCCTGCAGGCCAGAAGTGGGCATCTCATTACAGATGGTTGTGAGCCACCATATGGTTGCTGGAATTGAACTCAAGACCTCTGGAAGAGGAGCCAGTGCTCTTAACCACTGAGCCATCTCTCCAGCCTTTCGAAATGAGCTCTTAACACGAACCACAGACTTCATTTTATGAATGAAGTGTCTTAATGTATGATTTTCAAGGTGAAATAACTTGTAGGGAGGAACTATCAGTGGGCTCTAAATGAGCAGAGTCACAGTATTCTGTGTGTTGCTGTTAGAAGTTCAGCTCACCATACTGTTGGCCTCCAGTGCCTGCTGCCTGGCTAGCACTGGGGAGCTGGAGTGATCCGTTTCTGCCCCCTGGAGTCCATGCAGCCTGAGGACAACCAGAGACACAGGGCTGTCTCCCCTGAAGCAGAATCTTTCTAAATAGAGAACTGACAAAGATATAAGTTTTATTTAGCAGTGGTTGGCTGCCACAGGGGTTTGTCCTTAAGATGATTTTGGTTTCAAATCCAGTCCTATGATCAATAGTGTTATTATTAACTTATTTATAGCATGTACCCACAAAGACATGTCTTCAGAAATAGGAGGAATGTGTGCATTCCCATTATCTGTGCCTACAACCCTGGCACAGCCACAGTTACCTAAGTGCCTCCCCCAGCAACTGTGTGCTAGGGGACCTGGGAATTCAAGTATTTCCAGTTGGGGGCCTTAAAGCAAATTACCTCTTATTATCTGGTTGCCTTGATATCCTGTGTATGTATATTTGAATTGTATTAAAATACATTTATTTTAATGTATGGTCCCCAAAAGCAAGATTGATAGAGACGTTCTCATGGTACCCAGAGCGGAGTCACTCCAGGTGAGCAACAGCCGGGCAGTCTGGCTAACTACCCCATATGCGCTTCCAAGTCCCATGGAGAAAGCCGTGTGGAAGCCCTGGGGTTTATTAGCCTTTGATGTAAACCACAAACAATTTTTTTCAAGTGTTCCCGTTCATTCCGTTCTTGTTACTTCTCTTTACCAACTTGAGCAAATGCAAGATGAAGTCAGCTTTTCATTTCTCAGACTAAGACAAACTTATCTACTATAGTTTTGATGGAAAGTGTCCCCCAAACGGCTATTGCCAAAACCTTGTTCCAGGTGGTCCTGGCGAAAGTCAATGTGTCACAAAGCAAAACCAAAAGTCATGAATCTGTGGAGGAACTGGGAATGTCTAGAGGGAAATACTGAGCTTGGAGTAACCTGAATATAGCATGTAAATGTACAATATTGTCAAGTAACAAAATTAAAAAAGATTAAAGAGTAGTATTTCATAAGAGTAAGAAAAATAAAACATCTTGTTCCTCAGAGTGGTGTTTCTGGGAGTCGGGGAACTGGTTTATTTGTCTGTTGTTTGGTGAGAAAATGGTGTCTTCCCCAGCAGCAGAAGCGGCTCCTCAGAACTGAGTTATTTTAGAGACTGGAGAATTGTGTTATGTTCTGCGATATCCTGGAATTTTTTATTCTCTTGCTCAGTTTCCCCAGGGCTGGAACTGAAGGCACATGACTCCTCTCTGACTGCTATGGAACCCTTAAACATGGGCCTAGCAGGACGTCTCCAAGTTCCTTGGGCTACACCCATTAGTGATACTGGGATACACCGTGTGTGAGACTGCCGTACACCCGTGAGTAGGACTGGGGTACACTGTGAGTGAGACTGTGGGTACACCTGTGATACTGGGGTACACCCATGAGACTGGGGTACCTCATGAGTGAGACTGGGGTACTCTGTGAGTGAGACGACTGGGGTACACTGTGTATAACACTGGGGTACACTGTGAGTGATACTATGGGTACACCCGTGAGTGAGACCGCAGTCTTTCGGTCTCTTTT